GCAGCTTGTGGCCTCTCCACCAACTCCCTTGTGGGGGCCACTTATTGAGTCATAAGCTCCTCCGATAGTGTTATCACCACAGCATTTGCACAAATACAGGTTGGAAGAAGGAAAGATTGTAAAAAGATAATTGACTCTGCAGAGGAGGCAAGAAAAATGCTTTACAGATCCATTTGCTTTGAACAAGGACTGACCAACCGAAGGCAGGGCAGCACCTGGCTGAGGGTGGCTGCGCATTTCATCTGCCAGACATGAAACACAGATTTATCTGAAACTACAAAGCTGAATTTCAGAAAGCTCAAACAACCCTGAAGCCTTCCAAGTTACATATATTGCATTTCAAGTAGCATACTGTGTGATATATTTATATGTCCTCAGTAAGACTTCAACAGCTAAGATCTACTCCTGCAGAATTCCAGGGAGGAGAAATCCTGGCATTTCTTGAGTACAGACATGGACCTCACAACACCTGGTCAAAACTTTCTTTCCCCAGCCACATACACTGACTGTTACTCTCTACTCCAATAAGCACAAAGTCAATCTATAAAGCATTTTTCAATGCACCAGAATGGAAGCAACTCTTTAACAAGAGCCTAATGACCCAGACTGATAAGAGATACCTGCAGTGCAGCCCGTGGCATCCAACACATCCCAAAGCTGTTTCTCTGAAGTAGAAAGTCAGGCTGTGGAAACGACAGCTCTCAGCAGGCCCACGCTTCAACAGGATCCAAAATGCATGAGCAAAACTGCTCCATCAGGATGGGACACTGCACAACTACCTGTGGCATCTTCTTGGTAATCTAGGTCACTGTCCATAGATTAGAGACAAGCTTGCAGCAGAATTGCAATGCTCTGCTGTGTGCACCAAAAAGGAAACAGGCTTTCACAGGAATCACTTGGAAAAGTAGGCAAAGTAAATTGACCACATTCCTGTTTATTACAGTCAAGGGCAAAGGAGAATGCAGTCGACTCAAGGTTATGTTAAAAGTCTGCCCCTGCTGGAATCCAGACAATCAGTGTTGTGCAAGAGTTTGTTTGCATAGCAGAGTGACTCACAGTAAATGAGTGTGAATTTTCCTTGCACTTCCATGACAAACCCAGAACGTTCACATAAGAGGGAAGTTACTGTACCATAAACTCACCAATTTATTGCATTGCAATTTCCTTATGCAGACAATCCCTAAAGCCTTGACAGAGTAGGTTTAACTTTGTCTGCTCTGAATAGCAGACTCCTGAGAAGCTGGATGCAGAACAGGGAGAAAAAGGGCAGAATTGTGAATGGGTCCTAACTCAATGTGTACAGCTCCTATTGACAAGGGAATACATGTGTCTGAGTATGCAGCTCTTTATAGCTTTATTTGGCCAGGAGCTAAGAGCACAAAAATTTCACCTTGGTCCTTCTGTAAAAGACAGGCACCTAGAGACAGTGAGAAAACACTTGGAAAGAAAGGGATACATGCTCTTCACTAAGAGGCAATCTTCTGCACAAGAACCTGCCTCTGTCGCAAGAAGGAGGTTCTGTTCGAAATCTCATCTCACACCAGAAGCCACATATTTCAAGTGGCAGCTGGCCAGAGGTTCCCCAGAATTACACAACAAATTAACCAACTAAAATTCAATGGAAATTCAGATTTGCCTACTGGTGTGAATACGACGTAAGGGAAGCAGAATGGGTCACAAATATTCTGAAAAGCTTGCATGTGAGTGCATATTTGCAAGGAGAGGGAAACAATTCACTAAGAGAAATCAGACTTCAAGAAAAAAAACAATTTGTTTTTCCCTTCCATCTGAACTCAAAGTCAGAAATTATGTAGATTTCCACTGCCCACTTTCCTTTTCCTTCCTCACCCTCTTCTCATTGGCACGAGAAAAACCTTGGGGAAAGAGAAGCAGCAATTTTCAATTCTCATTATCTAACAGCAGCAGTAGCTCTTGGTGAAACTTGCGGTCAATAAACTACAGGCAATTTTAAAAGACACAATGGGAACTGCCCTTCCCACAGCTGTCCCATTATCCCGGCTTTTATTAGATTTAAAGCCAGTGATTTTTATGCTGTAGCTGAAGTTCTGCAGAGCCATGAAAACAGACCACCAGAAAAGATAAAACACTCCCAAATTAAACAGGAGACATTACAGTAACACACTCTGAAGTCAGAGAGCTTCCACACAAGCCAAGCACAGGACACAGCAACCAGCCCTGAGACTAAGTGGGCTGATGCTGTGGCAGGGAGCCCATGGCAACACAGCCAAAATGTAACATCCAGGATGGTATAAAGGGCAAAGTTAGTGAGCAGGTTAAAGACAGGACAAGTATAAATGTGGACATTCAGAGCTGAATTCTGCTCCCACAACTCTTACAAACACCCCACTACAGGCATTAACTTTGGAGTTCATGGTCTGGGTGTGCCCTCCCAAGCACCAGAGAGAAACACACACTTGTGGATGGTGATTCAGCCAACCTGTTTCAAGTGACTATTTAGGATAAGATGCACCATGCTTTAGTGGTACCAATTTCCCTCCCTTGACTACAAAAGAAGCTGTGATGGCCAGAAAACTTGCAAAATGGGTAACACCACTGAAATCCCTACCATGCACTGCCATGATGTATCCTGTTGCAGTAAGAGGGCCTGTGCAGGAAATGAGTGGAAAATAAAATTCAAAACTCATTCAGTGACATATTTGTCTGTTGGCAAAAGTAACTGAGGGTTATGGCTCAGAGATGTGCACAGCCATAAGCAAAGGCAAGTGGGTGCCCAAAGGACGACGCTCAAACACACACAGCAAAAGGGAAGATGCAAAGAATTATTCTCATCCACTGTAAGCTGTAATTTTCAGTCTAGAAATCTAGAGCTTGCTTTTTCTGAGTCTAATGTATACCATGCCCTGGAGACATTTTAACCAGCCATCAAAAGGAACTTGCAGAGAACCAGATGCTTCATTAAAGAATACTCACCAAGCCTTATAAAATCTTTAGTAAAATGCAGAACAACAAATCACCAGCATGCAAGGGAGCTGAAGTCACACATCCAGCTTTGATTACAACCTCTTGTACTGGAAAGCAAATTGTCTTTTAAAAAAAAAGGAAAAAGCCACCCAAAAAAATCAAGAGATTCCAGCCTCTTTCCCACATTCCTCCAACCTGTATTTCCTGAATGAAGAATGCGTGAGACAGAAAGCCATTTGGTAGAAGATGCTAATTTAAACCTAAAGAAAAATAGCAGCTTAAAAGGGGAAGCGAGGAGGGAGTTCTAGACCTTCATGAAAAAACACAACAGCTTGTGATAGTTACATATATATCAGGAGTCAAAGGACTCAGTAAGAACAGCGAGGCAAATTGTCAGGGCTTGAGCTGTCCTGGAACAAGAGAACCTATGGAAGTTTTTCTTGAACTTGTACTTGTAGAACCCCCTAGTGCCTGTATCTGGCTGTAAGATTTAGCTACCTACTTATTAGTCTTACTCTCCCCTTCTTAAAAGACAGCAAGGAGATTTTCTGCCACATTGTCATAATCCACAGCAAATTAATGTCCTATGCACTGCTTCTTCCAGGAAGTTTCTGTAACAGTGGGGGGAACATTTCTGAAGTTTACTGAACACTCTGAGAACCAAGACAACCCCCATTTTTTTGCTTTATAAAGAAAACCTAGCAAAACCCCCTCCACCACCACCACCCAAATCTTTAAAAAGATCCAAGTTAATAGGATCTTTCACTGCCCTCTGCTGTTACCAGTCATTTAGCTTCCCATTTACTCTTTAATAATGCCGGGCTGGGCCTCAGGGCTGGCAACATCCCAGCCCCTTTCTCAGGCGGGTTGGAGCCACAGCTTGCAAATATGCTGAAGTTTAATGCAATCTGTCTTCTTGGGTAATCACATTCCGCCCGCACTGCATGCAATAAAGATGTATTGGTAAATGCATTTGCTAAAGATATACTCCACTGAAAAGGCTACAAGCCTGATTTACAGGAGGCAAGGAGGAAGCATCAGGTAACGGAGGCTGGCAAGAGATGTGCCAGTGCTCTGCACATAGCAACAGAGGGCACAGAGTGTGCAGCAGCAGCACAGGCACCACTTTACTTTAAAGCTGAGAAAGAAAAAGAAACCACACGTTTTGGGAGCTGGGGACTTTAAAGATATCAGAGAAAAGCCCTTTCCCTGGCAGCTTTAACCTTGCTGATTTGCAGACATACAAAGACCTTCTTTGTAAACAGGAAGGAAAAAAATTCCACTAGGACTAGCAACAACATTTGGTCTAATATATCCTGACAATTTTCCCATCTCCTTCTGTTGAGCTTCTTCTGGGAGCCGGCTGGCAGCTTGTTTCATGTTATACTTAAATCAGGCATACAGCTTCCCCTCACAATGCTAATGTGACACAGAAAGACTGCTCCATGAAATCTCCACCTCTTCCTCACCCTTTGCATTAGTAATCCCATGAGAGGAGTCTCAGTTTTCTATTCCCAGAATGCTCCATCCTTTTCCCCAAATCCACCTTATTGTCTCAGCTCCTTTCTGAGAATTTTCTACCTTCCAAAAAAAAGAAAAGGTGACCCTTGAGGGACACCTGACCCACTGAATTCTCATGAGAGGAACAGCATCCTTTATACTCTAGACATCCCAAGCAGCAGTTTATGTCATACCACTCGCTTTTCCCAAGACCATTTCCAAGCTGTAAAGTCCAAATACTTCATTTTCTCTTTCTCCTTCACTTGTTTCACTAGCCAGAAATTCTTCCAAGGTTTGGAGCAGCCACTGTTCTAAGGCATCAACAGAATTGACTAGGACTCTGCATCTCTGGATGAAAAGCCACAAGGCTTGTTGGCTCCCTACACAAGACAAACAGCTTTTAGGAGTGTGCAGTTTTCCTAAGAGGCAGCAGCCTTGCCTAGTGAAGAAACTTTCTGCATGCAGCAACAAAAGGAAACAAGATCTCCAAAGTCCCATGATGGGAGGATGTTTAGAGCCCATTCAAAATGCTGCTGACAATGGCAAAATGGATTTGTCTACTTTTTGTAGTACACAGTGTCCTAGAAGGCAAAACTTGGGAAAATTATTGTGGCTGACTTTGAAACCTTGGAGCATCAGCGCTACTGTTTTGGTGGCAGCTCAGTATAATAGGATGCACTGGTGGGAGTGAAGCTGGGACATACCACAGTGTGACTGGGAAATGTGGAATTAATGTGGAAAAATAGATCCCAAAGAAAAACTGTCTCCTATGAACACTGGAATTTGACCAACGGATACCACAGCTTTCAGAAACACTTTCCTGAAGGAAAAAACACACAAAACAAGATAGCAAAGCCAGCAAGTACAACAGGGAAGCTTTTGTTACCTTCTGAGCTGCACTAACACAGCGCTGATATTCCTTAGCCAGCTCTGAGCATTTGAGCACTTCATGTTTGTTTTCTTGGTAGCACTTCAGAATTTCAGACTGCAGGCTTGCACAGACAGGATCAGTGTTCCTCCTCCTGCAGGGAAAACAAGCACAGAAATATGTGTGAAGAGGAGTCTTAACCCACTTACTACCACTTTACCAGTGACACACATGCTAATCTTGTGTAGGAATCATCTAGTCCTAATAGAGAAACTGGTGGGAGCAGTAATCACCAAAGTGGGTCAAATGACCAACAGTGTCTTTCACCTGAAAAATCCAAACTACTTAGCAGAAAGAAGGAACACATCATTATTTCTAGGTTGGTATGGAAGGCTGTCTTACCCTTAGATAAAACACCACCTCTCCTCTGCAGTCAGGAGAAAAGAAATCAGTTCCAAGATGTTCAACAACCTCCCAACTCACAGTGGAAATCACTGGCAGAATCCAGGAATCCTGGTTTGTCCTGCACTAGATCTGTAACAGTCTGACAAGGGAACTGAGAGGACAGGTAGAAAAAGCCACCTCACTCTATTGATTTCTCTCCTACTTAAACACTTCAAAAAATCCAACATGGTTGGAAGCACTGCAATTCTCCTAGTGACTGGGAAAAACAGAATAATAGCAAGACCAGATATCTGTTTCTTTGTATTTCTGAAACAATTAGTACTCATACCTCGTAAGTGGCATTGACAGCTACCCAAGAACAATTAGGGATGATGTTCTTTTACTCTAATATGCATGTGTACATATGGCACATCATCAGCAACAGTCCCAATAAAGGGGAAGGTCGTTGTAAAACAATACCAGAAACAATGGCACAAACAGTGGCATCAGCTGCACAGACATGCAGACAGAAATTGCAGGAATTTGCAGCACAATTGCCATGGTATGTTTTACCAGAGGACAAGAGAACATATGCTTAGGTATAGCAATCCTCAGATGCCACCCTCCTAAACCATAAATCCATTTAATTCCTTGCATTTTCTGCCCCAATATGCTTAGAGAGATCTGTGCCCAAATACCAGATGCACCTCTTCCTTCCAAATCATTTGATGCTACAGGCAGGCATTAATGCCATGCCATGATGTATTCATTTCCACAGTAACAACAACAGGCACTCATTCAGCTAGAGGGCTTCACAGAGAGGCAGAGAGAAAACATGACCTGTTCCTGGGCATGTCTCATTCTCTCAAGCAGAACAGATTTCTAAGAAACATGAAATCTTAAACCAAGATCTTGTAAAAGCTTTTAGAGAGCTCAGATGAGAGTTTCAAATAATGCTCATTTTTGTAAGGTGCTCAGGAAGCCAAGCGGAAGGGCAAAAGAAGAAGGAAAAAATCTGTCCTTTCCACATCAGCAACCTGGTTTGGCTGAGACATACTCCAAATGATACTTCTTCAGTCCTCAGTCTTAATTGCCAACATAGAGGGGCAGACTAAGAATGTATCAGTAATGTATGACAGCCAAACTGTAAGACACTGAGGTTTGGGATCAGAAACCACCAAAGACACTACACAGACTTCTTTTTCTACCTCCATCTTACAGCTTTTGGCAGAAACTTATTGCAGGTATGGTCCCTAGAGGCTAGTGTGCATTTCTAATTTCTATGTTCTATAGCAAATCACCTTTAAAGCCTCTAAAAATCCATATTCTAAAAAAATCTGCAAATTTTTGAATAGAAAAGAACCCAGGGAGAGCTTCAGAAACTCATAATGTTGGCATTTTGCTTTGTCGCTAACTTTAATATCACTCTAATCAAATCAGCAAGACTGTGGAAATGATACCAAACAATACCAGGTCAGGAAATACCACCAAATCCCTCCATTCATTGGAAAAGTTAAGACTTTTAAAATTAGGTTTTATTTTAAACTCAGCCATGTTAAATTGAAGGGCATTTTGTAATTTTCATACAGAGAGCTGGAAGAGCAAAAAGGTAGAGCATGGCACAAAACAGTCTGTATTCATCTGAACGGAACAATATGCTGCAAATATGTCAGAGAAACATTTAGAAGAATGCTTGAAGTTGCCATTGTCTCTGTGGAGAGCTTTAGGAATAAAACCTTTGTTTGTGTGTCTCTTCCTTCACTGTCCCTCCCATGGCATAAGTTGCGCAGC